CAAAGGTAAAGCTTTACCCACAGTTATTACCTGCTTTTCTTGTACACCATGTAAAATCCCAAACATGTTAACTGAGCGTGACCTTTATGACATTTGTTAATATGTAAAATAAAAACATAAGGAAAGGTAATAGAAGTCAAAGAGAAGAGGACAAGTGTCATTTGTGTATGCAATACAAGCAACCCCCATGCTCACCACCACCAACTTATCATTCCCAGGAAGGATAAACCCCAACACCAGACACCACCTGATCTGCAGCGGATGGGATAACTTGCCAAGGACACATACCAACATATATCCCTTTCAAAAGGGACACACATGCAATTATACCACCACAGTGAAACTCTCTGGCCTTTGGGTCATGCCACAACAAAGATAACAACAGCATCCACCAGTAGAGGAATTTGCAAAATGAATGTGAAGTCACTGTTAAGTCTCTGTCCTCAGGAAATGTTTTTAAAAGGAAGAGATGAAACAAGGAGACTTACAAAGAACTACATTTATTTTTGTTTACAGCAGATATCATAAATAAAGCTAAAACAATTTTCACTGTGTGCAAAATACAGAATTTCCATGTGAAAATTTAAATACAGCGTTAAAAACTATTTAATAAAAATATTCAGTTAAAATTATAAAGTAAAATGAAGACAGAAGATTTAGGAGGAGAAGGACAGAATCCTCACTGGCCAGGAAGAGCTAGGAAGACTCTGCAACAGAGGGTAAAAAACACAGCAGTAGGAAGTGGTTTGAAATGGCAGACCTTTACGGCACGACCTTCATCTCAAAGCATGCTGAACTTTGTAACAAAACACCATAGCCCTGAAATACATAGGAAGTCATGTCCTAACCATTGTGCAGGAAGTGACGCTTAAAATACAGAGAGGTTTCTGTGTGGGCACAGTGTGGGGACTTTCAAAGCCATCGAGACATTCTAGGATACCCACACAAATAAATACTATTGCTTTAGTCACACAAACATACAGGTCAGCAAGATAAGGAGTGTGGGGCTCTGACCCTGCAGCCCTTCTGCATTCCTGGCTGAGGCCTGCGAAATGGGGCAGGTGGCAGAGGATCTCTGGCCCTTCCTGAAAATTGCTGCTTAGATCAGTTCCCAAAGGCCCTTCCCTTTGAAAGGGATCCTTGGCAGGGAAGGCTGGGTCAGGACCACGTCAACCAAAACCTTAGTGTGTGTGCTTGTCAGACTGAGCCCTTGGTTCTTGTTTGGATTCATTACCCCTTCTATATTATCAACATGGGATTACACATACTAGAACTTATGTAAAAAATACATACAAAACAATCACACAAATTTGTCATGGAGACTAGTAGCAATGTCTCATACAGCACGACAAATCCATTCATCAGTGGCAAATGGGGCCCAGTTAATCAGTTAAGAAAACAATTCAAACCAAAACACTCTGGTTATATAAACTTGGTATTTTGATATTACAGACTAAAAATAACATGCACGTGTATTGCTCTTAGGCCATGTTAACTTGTGGTGAAACATTGGAATTTGCATCGCTTGGGCTGCTTTTTCAACAGAATCCTTTTATATCATACTTTTCCAGTATGAAAGTTTCCCAGTATGCAAGCAAAGAAGTGCTTAGAAAGCGTCACAGTGTCCAAACGCTGCTTGCTCATTGCATGTTTGAGCTCAATGGAAATAGGTGCTCACGCTAACCAGGAGAATCAGCTAGCTAATCTTGTCTTGACCTTATTTTGAATCTTTCCTTCAATATGTTGAAAGAAATAAGGCTTTAACTAGTTCTTTCAAGAAACAATTTACTTGCCTAACTTACCTTAAAGGCACAAGGAAGTGTACACGCACAGAGAGAGAGAAAAAAACATTCTCTACAGAGAGCACAGATGTTACCTTTTCTGGAACTGTGAACTCAGCAACAGGTTAAGTGATCATGCCAAAGCTCGCATCCATTAATATACCAGACACACACAGTTTGCTCCAAAAGTCTTAAAAATACGTGCAGTGAATTGCTGTCAAACAACAGTGTTAGTCACACAATTTTGGAACTGGCAAGCGGAAAAAATCACCTGAGAGCAGAAAGGCTTCAGCCAGTGAGCGGGTGCAGCACCGGAATGATGAATTGGACTAAAAGCAACAAGGGAGATTGACAGAGAAGACAGCAGGAAAAAAAACACAGAACGTAACTTGATTATATAGGAAAGCATCAGAAAGATTATGTAGGCACGAAGGAAGAATTGGCCAAAATGAAACTGCCTTTTTTTCATTAAATCATGAACAAGGACAAATAGGTATGAATCTTACTAGCAGACTATTAAGAGATTAAAAAAAATAAATCTACCAATTAGATCGATACCAATAAAAAACCTTCCCAACAGAATCACCTGCAAAATTCCAGTGGAATATGCAGTGTAATTAAGATTCCTCAGGAAAATTTTTTCATTATAAGTTTCTGAATTCTTTTGTGGGAAAGTGAGGATTTTATTCCCTGTTATATAAATCTATATAAAGCCAATACCTTTTTTTTTTTCCTGTTTTATTTTTAAACTTTCTACTAGTAAGATTCATTTGCTTCAAATTAACTGGACATCACAGATTTCAAATTTTCTTCCTATATCATTATTTTCTGTAAGTTTACCATTATGCTCACTCTGTTGAAAAGCAGAAAATTCCCTGTACTAAACAACAGGAGAAAATTTCAGGAAGAAGTGTTCCTAAAGACTGTGCTGTTGACAAACTGAAATCAAAATTGATGGCAAGCCAAATTTTAAAACTTTACCACTTAGCAGTTTGCTGTGTTGCAGGAGTAACATGGTAAATCGCACCACATAATTTTTTCTTTTTTAGGGTGAAACAGTTACTACCATTAGCAAATAATTAAGAAGTATACAGTGTTCCAAAGCAGGTTTTTTTTAAATGTTATAAAAAAGATACACATACATTTCTTTACATATATACAGATGCCTACCATGTTATTATAATTGTTGCTGTGTCCAGTCAATATTCTAGCAAAGTTTTGTTGAATATATGTTTCAACATTCATGGTAATTTATTTCAAACACTACCTTATATCTAAACAATTTTCTTCAAGCACTTTTTCAAGTACTGTGCATACACTTAACAATTTTTTCCCAAAATACATAATCACTCTAAAATGTAAAAAGGTTTATCCTCATAAAGAAAGTCAACCTATCTAGTAGAAAAATCTGTTTAGTCATTTATTTTAAACAGAAGACACATTTCCTTTTAATACCTAAGAAACGAAACAATTAAAATAATATTTTCCCACATTATGTTAAAAAAAAAAAATCAAAAAACTGCAAGCCCATAAGCAGCACAGTCATTTAAGACCACTGTAAGGCAATCTTCAACTCTAGTACTAACTGAATGCAACATTATTTCCTATTATTTAGGCCACATTCTTTTGGCTAGAAATAAACACTACATATGCTTTTAATTTTAGACTATATGTATTACCATGTTTATGTATTTACCTATTTCCTGGTTAGCTTCTGAATTTAAACATTTAAGTATTTGAGAGGCAGGGAACATGCTTACCTCACTGGCTAACTAGGTTGAAAGTAATCAGAATTTGGGATGTTGGTGTCTCCTTGCCATTAAATAGCTTATTTAACCTGTTCCAACACCTTCTTATTAAGGTAGACCTTGTTGAGAGACATCTGAAAGAAATTTAACAGCTTCTCCAAATAATAGAATTTCGCCTTTCTGCCATCAGCATTAGACACCAAAATGAATTAAATACCCAAACAAGAAGTAATCTCCTTAGAATATGTTTGTAGGTTTCTGTTGTTTGTTCTAAACTTGTATTTTTAAAAAATTCCAAAAGACAGTAGGAGCAGTGCCTATCCAGAGGCACAACAGCAGTGATTTCAGTTGAGTGCTGCATAAGCTGATATTCCTCCAATCAGCCACTTAATGAGGAAGCCTTGACTTGAGGAATAAGTCAACTCTAATTAAACCACCAGTTCCTTTGACTTACAGTTTCAATTAAGCCTTTACTCAACTAAGATTTGCTCTTCAAACTTATTTAAAAACTTTAAATAAATTAGTAGTACAGGTTATACCCACTATCAGCAAAGGGTGCCTATCACGCGTAAGAAATGTAAAAGAAATGATTAGGAGCAATGCAAAATCAGTACTTTTTCTTTTTTTACTTTTTTTTTAAAAAAAAAAAAAAACATATTCATGCAAGTTATAAAGCTCATAACCCAGAGCAAAGATGAAAGCAAGAAAAAAAAAAAAAAAAAGTATGCGCCATATTCAGGTTTCAAAACCCAGTCATTTGTCATAAATATTCCCCATATCTGAGGAACACACTTTCTTTCTTGGCCTAACAAAAAGAAGGAAAATTAAACAGGGGGGTGGTCGGCACAGGGAGAAGAGTGGTTTTAAAACATACCACCCCCACAATGGTCTGATCAGAGGATAAAACAGGGAAAAAAAAAAGTCTACAAAATATCCTTCATCCATCTTCGTGTTCTGGAAATGTGTCTGGACACTGCCCTTCATACTCAGTATACAGTACATTTTATACTGAAAATTTTGATTGCACCTCATTTATATCAGAAGGAATCCACCATTTGTTTAAGTCACACATTAAATTGCACGAAAAGTAAAACAAGTAACCAAACAAAAACCCTCAAAAAAATAGTGAGGCTGTTAATTTTGAAAATCTGAAAGGCACAACTGAGTAAGACACGTAGAAGAATTTAAACCCTACAGAATTTTTTCACCCATTCAAGCACATTTTCAAGTGATAGGTCTGCTTCCCGGTACATATGAGCAAGTACCTCTAGAAGAGCACAGAGGAATGGCACACCAAGGCTCAAGAGTTCGTACAAGTAGGTATAGTTATATGCATTGTCCCTGAAATGAAGATTGGTAGCGTGCAGAAAACCATGCATCCAGTTAGACAGGCGTCTGGGAATGTCAAGCAGATCCCTTGTCACCCGAAGGGGCCAGCTTAGCGTGCCCTTAAAGAAGGAAGTCAGGATACCTGGGGACCTGTCCTCTGGACTGCTAGCAGCAGACAAAGTGCTTTCTGTGGCGGCCTCTGTGGGTTTGGGTTCCTCTTTCTTCCATGCTTCTGTTGCCTCCTTATATAAAGCATTTAGAAACCAAAAGTTAAATATACTTCTAAAATATGGGAAATCTAGTTTCTGTTACTTTTTTCCAGTCTTTATGTATGTTTTCATTTTCAATTGCTCTTAAGTTCAACTTTACTTTGTATAGGAAAATGTAATTTCTATTGAGAACCAGACTATAAATATGCCAAACTCACAGTACCAGGTTATTATATTTTACTATTGAACTTAATACTTCTGGACACTAGGTAGAAAACATCTCACACACACATATATATACACAAGTACTGTACTCTGCTCCAGGTAAAGCTGCCTCTAACATTCCCTTCATTAGTAATATAACCAATATGTACCTTTCCTTGGATCTGTAATGTTGCTCTTCTCTTTCTGTGTTTTGTACTGATTTTACAGTGCGTAAAATGAGGTTTACAGTAAAATTTGCCTACAAGAGAAAAAAATATTATATTATCTTTCATCTATATGTAGATGGACTGAAAACTTACTGTTGCATGTACAAAAAGATGAAATCAGGATAATTAATGGTTGGGCAGCAAAAGGAATGGGAAACTTGCCACTGGCTCTGAGTAGCTCACAGCTCTGAATGTGTTTCTTTTACAGTACACAGATTTGCACATTTGTTAAATAAGGCAAGGTCATTTATCTACCACACAGGTTTAAGATTAATAAATAGCAGAAAAACAAAATTCCATAAACACAAAGACACAAACGAAGAGATCAAGCAGCAAAAAGTCAAATAATCAGTTCAAAAGAGTCTTTGCAGTAGATTCTCTGGACTGTAAAAGACCTTGAGTTTTTAATCCTTTAATAGTAGGAGGTCAGGTTAATATTTCAGACTACTCAAATCACTTGGAAGTGGAAAGGGAATTTCAATTCAGTTTAATAATTTCCCTCTAAACTGAAAAAAAAAAAAAAAAAAAAAAAAAAAAAGGCAAAAAATAATTCCCCATCTCCAAACCCCAGGCTATAAGGCAGGATTGAGCACCCAAGATCTGAACCTCCCATTCTCCAGCTGACTGGAAGAAATTACACTGCTGCTCGACCAGTATTACTGCTTTCAATTCCTGAGCTGTAACATCTTCAAAGAAATAACCTATATTCCCCCCATCCATGTAAATCTGCCAGCATCATGGTTTATCCTTATAGATTATGTTATTTAATGGCCAGTTATAAATGAGAGATCAGAATGATTCTGTATTGTTGAAGAAAAATCACCTTTTTCCCCCCTGCTTTGACCTGTGATTGGAAAAACTGGATTTTGGTCACTCAATTTATTTTCCATTCAGGATTTCTTCATTTAAAGCTCAGGTCTGTCACAACTGGATTCTTGTGGAAGACTAGAACTGCGAGTACAAGGACTCAAAGATCAGCATGGATGCAAACAAAATACTTGGTAGACCTCCTCCTGACAGCTACTTGGCCAGGTCTTTTTCCCTAATTCCATTAAAAGCATCAATACTTAGACATTTTAAAATATTCTTAAATAGTTCTTGTATTACCTTCTTCAACATCAAAGGCATAAATTCCTAAACGGAGTGTTGTTGAACATATTTCACACTTGAAGCACTCCCTGTGAAAGAAGTGGCCTTCTGCACTCTGCCGCTCCATAACATATACCCGTTTTTTGCAGAAATAACAAATGTCACTCCCCCCAATAGACTGAGGAAATTCTTTTCGCAGAGAACCCTGTTAAAAGATAAAAATAAAAATACATATAAAACTGTTGTACTACACCCAGATATAAATTCTTATTAAGTGGGCAACTGCTTTAGCTGCTTGAAGTTTTACACAGCATCCTCCACACACAATTAAAATAAGCATCAGCCAGCATTTTTATGACTCATTTGCTGCAATTCTGTAGGTTTATGCATCAATTCATAAATCAGACATCACGGGGACTTTAAGGGGTGAGGTTTCAGATGGATTGTATCCAGCTTTCCTCAGGTAATTCACCAACACTTCTGGTTTAACTCAGGTACAAGAGCAGCATCAGCCCCAAACGCTCACTCATTGCATCTCCAGGCTGTGGGCATCGGTGTTTCTCAGCAGAGGGCAAAGGCAGACCCACCAGCCCCGAACAACAGACACGTATTTGGAGCTCAGAAAACAAAACACCCTGAAGACTCAGTTCATACACACTCCAGAGGAAAATGTAGGCTCATGCTTTAAGGTCCAGGGAAGAAAAACTGACAGTGTTCGATGCTGGTGTATGAACTACCATTTACTTCACCACAGACATGCTTCCCCTTCTCAGACACGTTCCTCCTGAGACTACAGCCCAAGCTGGGGCTTAGTTTGTTTTAAAAATCAATTTAATTCCTACCACAGACATTCAGAGTATTTTTAACACATTGGACTTTAAAATATGATCCGTATTAAGAACTTGAAACTATTTTGAAAGTTTTTGTTGCATTTGGGTTGGCAATTAACATTGTTCAATTGCAGCAAATCTCATCCTCTCTGGATATACATGCAAAAGGTACAGAAAAATAAATTATAAATGGATTAGATGCCACTGGGCTTCCACTTTTTTATTAGAGGCAGGTATGAGGATGTTACTTTGTATTGTTTTATTATGCTTAGTTATAGGTCAGTACAGATGAGCATCCTGTCTCTACCACAGCCATCACTATCTCCCTCCCCTTCCACCATCCTCGCTGCCACAGGTGAGGTATCACACATGGGACAGAGGCGGCACAGGCTTGGCAGAGTCCAGGCACATTCAGACAGCTGCACACAGTCCACGCAACTCTACTTTACCAGCAAAAGAAGGCCCTCAAACTATTTTTTTAATGTTAAGTGCAAGTCATGATTGTCATTGTCACATTGACTTGTGCTTAAAAGTGGAGAATCCTATCCCAAATCTGACATTAGTAATCCATTCTGCTGTGATGGATCATTTCAGAGTATGAAACTTTCCAAGTGAACAACCATGCAAATGGAAAAATATACAAATGCATTTTAAAAAATACAATGTTCATAGAACAGATAGTTACAATGAAGCGGAAGCAACTGAGTTTAATGATGGCTAATAAGTAAATGTCATCACTGCAACACAACACTTTACTTTGCTTCCCAATACCTGACAGCTCTGAGCAGTGAAGACAGTAGATGGAGAATGAGGAATGGGGCAAGAACCTGTAGCTCTGTCCAGAGACTGCTTCTGAATTCAACACAGAACAGTGTCAGAGTTTATAAACAGCTCTCTTCAAAATAAGGCACGATGATTCAGCATTTGCATGTTAAAAATAACTGCATAAACGTACTGTATAAAACTTTCTTTAGAAGCCACCCTGATTAATAATTGTCTTCTGTTACTAATTGTACCAGTAATTACATTTAATAAAAGCCTCCTGAAGTTTTAATTCACACAGACAAGTAATAAAAATATAAATAGAAGACATGGTGAGCAACATTTCTAACACATCCACACATCAGCATATTTGCCAATACGCACTTGATTCCTTAAGTGTTAGACTAAGACCTTTCATAACACTTAAAGTGATCCACAACCAGGATCTTAAGTCAGGACAACATTCTGGAAACACCACTCTCAAGTCAAGTTACTGTTTCTTTGTGTGTTTAGTCTTACCAGTTCAAGGGGAGGAAGCTGTGGCTTGGATCTGTGATCATTCACATACAGATTGACAAGAACTTCAGCCACAGCTCCAACCGCATGTGAGACCTTTCCTACAGTCATCTAACCAGAAAAGGAGAGAAGATGAAGAATAGAAGGAAGAGCTTTAGTTATTCTTGAAAAAAAACGCAATGAGAAAAGGACAATAATTATTTGAAAACATGCAAGCAATGATAAAGAGAGGCCAGGAGAAAGAGCAGAGGCAAAGTCTAGCAGAGCACGAGCATGTTCATGCGAGATCAGCGTAGTCCAGCTGGTGGCCACAGAAGGCTTCTGCCAGCCCACACCCTTCTCCCTGTGAGTGGTGGAGAATTAGCTGCTGGGAGCAAATGCTGCTCCCACAGCACAAGGCCTCCCGCTATGTCTGCAAAAGGCTGAGCTGGGAGCTACTGCCTGGCTATCAGGGTCAGATCATTCTGATAGATTAAAAAAACCCTCCCTATTGTTCACTTTGACTTCTTGGGACTTTGTTGTTTTATTTCAGAACAGGGGTGGGGACTACACATCAACAGACCACAAACCATGGTATTTCAGGAAACATTCTATGAAAATGTACTGGCAGTCCTGCACAGAAATGTTTTGTTGATGCTCACAGAGCAAGCATTCTCCTTCTCCCCAGTGATTCATCTTAACACCAGGGGAAACTGGAGAAACTACGTTCACGAAAGGAAAACATCTCCTTTAATCTGCTTCATCACACTATTGCAGCCTTGAATGTTAGGCTGTTTCTAACCAGATTTATCAAATAGACCTGCAAGGACACTGCAGTTCTTTAGGCTGTGGCTCCAAATGAACTGTAGCCAGTCCACTGACTGCATGGTCCAGGCTTCCCTGACAAAACACATGCCTGGGGACAGGAAAAGGAGAAAGGTGTGTGGGGGGGTGTGCGCATGTGTGTGTGAGTGGCAGGTAGGTACTCTTGTTCTTTGTTCCTGGAAAAAAAGACTATGAAGACTTTCATAAAGCTACAAAAATATTTTCTACCCTAAACCAAATTTCCTGTAGTGATTTTAATTTTAGTTTTACAGTCAATATAAGATCCCACAACCTCTCCGGTAGCAAAGGCAGCAAGGGCCATCCTGGTATGGCCAGGGATCTGATACTGCTTCTGAAGTCAGGACATGTTTTTTTCCCCTAGAGGATCTATGATCTCATACCTTGCACTCTATTCGCCTCCTACAGAGACAAAGTTTTAAGTCTCACACTTCTCAGTGAAATTATTTTTCTACTGGCACCACACCAAGTCTTGCTAACAGAAAGGTTTTGAAATATCAGAAAGTTACCATGAAGAAAGGAGAAAAATATAAATGCAATAGTATTCGTGATACTTAAAAATAATTTAAAAGCATTTTCTATCAAGTTTAAAAACAACTATAATGCATTGTGGGTGTGTTTTCCAAAATTATGATGGCTAAAAATATTCTTTCTAATACAAAAAAATTGAAGTCCAGGAACTTGGGAACATATCCAGCCCTTTACAGCTCCCCTTATCTTTTGAGAGTTCTCTCATAATTAATTTAATATCCAGGCAGATACAAAATATTTATTTTAAGATGACAAAGTCCATTCAAGGGACTGATTTATGTACTGTTTGTTTATGTTTAATATAAAAATACTTTTAAATATTATTCAATGTCTGCACTATTTGTGGGGTAACAACAGAAAAGTAGACTGTTAATTACAGAGCACAATGCTGTCCTAAGTGGTACATTAAATTAGAAACCAATACAAGAAGTGAGATTACTTGCTACTACAAGGAAATCTAAGTTCTTTCGTGTTAAGATCACAGAAGACAGAATTTTCCTCCCCAAATTATACACGTCTGAATATGATGAACAACTTTTAGACCAAATACAACTTATTACCCAGTGAGCTCCTAGGTAAAAGAAAGCATTCAAAAGTCAGCTGAAGCAGAAAGTTTACCTTGAACTAGTTAAATGCTGGAGCAATCAGCTAAACAATAAGGCTATGCTTAAAGTGTAAGTAGTTGAATTTCAGGTAAAGTATTCTCCAATGTGAACTACACATTGCAGTTCATCAAGTTGGTTGATTGCTGTTCTCCACCCACTGGAGCAATCTATGTCAACATTAAAGCAGTCAAAACAAGAAAACTGCATGTTTATACATACTTTTAGAGAAACTGTTTAATAAGGTCATATTAGTGGGAGAAGATCTCACTACTGGTTCTCCTTACTGAATTGGATATGTGGGTAGTCAAGAGGAGATCACTTTGCTGCAGCCTCAGTACTGCACCATTCAGATGCTGTGCAGTGGGCTCTAGATTGGAGCACTGGGCTATGATTAATGGGATGGAATTTACCAAGTCCAAATGCTGAATTCTGGACCTTGGATGGAGTAACACTGGGCACAAGTATAAACTGGGAGAGGAATGGCTGGAGAGCAGCCCTGCAGAAGAGGCCTGGGGTGCTGGTGGCCAGCAGGCTCAGTACAGGTCTGCATTGTGCCCCGGCAGCCAGGAGGGCAAACCCCACCCTGGGGTGCAGCAAACACGGCGTGGGCAGCCGGGCAGGAGAGGGGATTATCCCGCTGTGTTCAGCATTGGTGCAGCCTCACCTTGAGTGCTGTGTGCTGTTCTGGGCCTCACAACTTAAGAAGGATGTGAAGGCCCTTGAATGTGTCCAGAGGAGGGCAACAAATCTGGTGGCAGGGCTGGAAGGCGTGTCTGTGAGGAGTGGCTGGGGACTTTGGGTTTGCCTAGTTTGAAGAAAAGGAGGCTGAGGGGCGACCTCATTGCTGGCTGCAGCTTCCTGAGGAGGGGGTGTGGGGAGGGAGGTGCTGAGCTCTCCTCTCTGTATTCAGTGACAGGATGTGTGGGAATGGTTCAACGCTGCACCAGGGAGGTTTAGTCTGGACGTTAGGAAGCATTTCTTTACTGAGAGATTGGTCAAACACTGGAACAGGCTTCCCAGAGAGGTGGCAATGCCCCAGGCCTGTCAGTGTTTAAGAGGCTTTTGGACGATGCCCTTATCAGCATGCTTTAACTTTTGGTCAGCCCTGAAATGGTCCAGCAGTTGGACTAGATGATCATTGTAGGTCCCTTCCAACTGAAACATTCTATTCTACTCAAATGCCATTCAATCACTAAATAGAAATACCAGGGCAGCCCCATGAGCACCTGCCATCATCAGAAACCTGCAGAGAATGGGAGGGACAGGGCATGCGAGAGCAGCACTGCCCAGCAAGGCTCGTGACTTCTGCCCTCATACAACAGCAGCACAACCACCGAGCAACGCGTGTCTCCTCTAAACCCCACCCTGCGTATGGGCAAGGACTTCAACATCCTCACCCGCTTAAGAATGTAAATGTAATAAACTCCAGTTGCAGGAGAGAGGGTCTGCCCCCAAATCTACACACATTCCTTTAGAGAACCTGTCAGCTCTTACGCGGCTTAGCTTTGGTCAACAGCACACAGATCTCCACCTGCCTGATGCTGCTCATGTACCTTAGAAACTCAGGATACATATAATAGGTTTTATATTTTGCTCATGCACTTACTACCCTTGAGGCTACTGGTGTACGTGAAGTTCTACACGCACATGCAATTTTGTAGTGCTGGGGCCACTATCAACATATAACAGGCTACTGCTCACAAATCAGGCAGGTTTATACCAGTTGCTTTAAATCCATTGTTGGAAGGGAATCTTAAAGAACTATCTTACATGGTGAATTTCAGGAAACAACCAGGAAAACACTTAGTAAATCACAAAGACTTAGGGGATTTTTAAGACCATTGACCTGTCGATGACATGTTGACAAAGCTTTTCAGCAGGTTGATCAGGGTGGTTATTAATGTGGGAAGAGAAAGCTACCTTCTGTATTTCCCTGTGCTATTACTTATAATGCCACGGCCAACCAACAAGTAAGCCTCAGTAGTATTTTCATAAAACAAAGGAAATATGCTCTCTGCTTTCAAAAGCATACAATACTTCCCCTTTGTTGTTTCATATCCTTAATGATTTTCCTGATCTTATTTTGCTTTGAGGGCAATTAATTTACTTTTGGTACCACCTGCTACATTTATTTTACCTCTGAGATAAACAACATTTGAGTAATAAGTCACTGTGTGTAGGAAACACCCAAGACCTGCTTACTGCTGGTAATTAGTCATGTCACTAAAGGGAAGTAGCTGGTCCAAAACTCTCCAGGCAGCAAAGCCTATCTATTGCAACACCTTCATAGTTCTTATGACGTATTGTGTGGATTCATTCATGCAAAGCTCTGATGAACAGAGTTTTCTGAAGGTCAAGCAAACTTTAAACAGAGAACAGGAATAACCAAAGCCCAGCCTGTAATGTAATATTTGTTAATTCATAGTTCTACCTACATAAATTTGGACATCTGATTAAAGCTAGAAGGTAGTTTTGATTATTACTGACAACTTGCATATAGTGTCATATAGAAGTTAATTCTTAATAAGTTGTAATGACTGTATGTATTTATAAGAAACAATATGCTTCCACAGCCTTCCTTTCAAGAACTCCTTTCAGGACTGAGGATTAATAACAGGTTTCTGTAATAAGACAGTATGATTTTTTAGCCACCATTTTCAAGAAATATTCCACCATAACTAATACTGATCCAATGAAAATTCAACAGATGTAAAGGATCATCATGTCTGATAACAACCTCAGTGCTCACTTGAAATTAAAATGACAGTACTAACTATTAATAGGATGGAAGGGTGCTGATATTTATAGGTTGTATCTCCTGAAGTCTTACAAAACTCAGAAGACTTCTATTACCTTCTGTTCTTCTGCTGGGAAAAAGCAGAAACAGTGAGAGCAAAATGAGGGAGCTCTTTCTGTTGGCTTACCTATCCTGAAGACCTTTTTCATACTAAAGTCTAGGCTCACCCAGTGATATCTCTCAGAACAAAGACCAGAAATACAAATTCTGAGTCCTATAACCCCACCTTCAAGATAGCATAAAAAAAGGCAATTACCAGTACATACAGCAGGGAGGTCTAAACACATTGTTAAATTATCATGCATAATACTTGAAAATGTACACTGGGCACCAGAAATATTATAAAATTTTATTTATATAGTGCTGAACATTTATCCAATGTTTTATAGAATATGATAAAATTGTAATGTTCTGAAAAGTGTGCAATCTTAAAAGATGAAACATGTGGACAACAATTTAACCTTGGAAGGGTATGAACAGATTGATTGTTACAAAATCAAGGCTGCAGCAGGTGTTCCCTGAAGATTTAATACTCTTACAGCAAAAACAGCAGTAAGAAATCTGCTTCTGGAAAAATTTTGCTTGACAAATAACAAAAGGGTAACTTGAAGAGGAACAGAACTTAAGTTGCCAAAGAGAGGTAAAGCTAAAGTAACAGGGGTATCACAGGACTGAATCTACCTCATAACACACGAATAGTATGGAGAACAAAAGTCTTGCACATCCATTAATACCTCACCAGCATGTTACCAACACAAATAACGGTCTTGGCCATAGGTCCAAAGGGCCATTGAGTCCATCCCCTCTCCCCAGGGCAGGATCCACTTTATATGTGTAAAGTAAGTGCACATTGTCATAACCTGCTCCAAAAGGTGATTGTGCTGCAGACCGCAAGCCTCACCTGGCACTCTGCTCCTTACTATTCAAGGGTCCCCTATCCCCATCTCTAAGCCTGACCTGAATCTCCATTTCCATGGTAACTATCCAGCATCCCTTACTGTGCCGATAGTGGGCACAAGGATAGGCACTCACCCCTTCTCTGCAGCAGCCTTGCGCAGACACCATGGCTGACTGACCCTGTCTAACTCCTCCACACCCCCTTTGCTACCCCTATAGTAAGCACAGCACCAACAGTATCACTTGTACTCACTGGCAACCCTGAAAAGGAAACTCAAAGGGGTTTTCCTCCCCTCCCCCCCCCCCCTTTTTTTTTTTAATCTACTTAATATCTTACCCATTGAAATATCTATCATCACTTAGGGCTCATTTGGATAAACTTTCTATTGGCACATCTACCTCAAAGGGAAAGAAAGTAGGAGTTTGCCTCTTCAATATTAGACCTGCTATTTAAAAATTCTCAAATATGCCATGCCAAATGCACCATATTTCAACATTGCATAGAGTGTACAAGAAGACCTGAGTCTATACAACTGTATGGAGCAGTATACTAGGCATCAAGATGTTCATGCATGTAGAACTTCCAAAGAATGCATGTAGTCCTACCTAACCAGCCAAATATTTACCAAAATAGATGAATGTATATTTACTGTGCTGGTGACAGAACAAGATTTTCTTGCCTCAGCTGTGCTGCATTTTGCCATTACCTCTGGAGAGAGTATTTTTCAATTGAAGTAAACTCAGTCTGAGTGAAATCAAGTCACAAAGAACTACTGCTACACCACTTAAATACAATGGTGAACTAATAAAAGGCTGTGAGCGCACTTTAAACCAAATGCAGTTGTATTAAAACATCAAAAAATGATTGCTCAGACCAAATGTTCTCTAAGAAAAACTTTTAAAATTCCCATGAAATTATTGCTCAGAGAGTTCCCACATGATTACGATCTTAGTTCTCATATTCTAAGGTGTTCTTCATATACTTTGTTGTTTTTTTGTTTGTTTTTTTATTGTTTTTTTATTCTCTTTGCAGTGTCACAATAGCTCTCCAAATCGAATGAGCAGTATTTTGGAAACCATTACTAGATTAAAACCCATCAACATGCTATACCTCCTAGCATACTACATAAAAAGTAAGATGCAAATCTAGGCAAAGGAATTACTTTGAAGCTGAAGGGAATTAGGGGATTACCTCAGTAAGGCACCTGTTGCACCTGCAGTGTCCTTGGAAGGGCTATGTAGCCTGTATTTTCCTGGGGTCTGAGAGGAAGGCAGTCTTTTCAACACATCTCTATCTCAACAGAGGAACATGCCTTTGCAAACTGCAAGTCAGCTCAGTATCTACCTGCTCAGTTACTGCTGAGGCCGTGAGCCAGATTTCCAACCAGAATTAACAATATGGTGCAAAATAACCTAAAAAGATCTAGACTGATTCCACTAAATGATCCTGCTGAACACTCACCAGATGGGAAATTACCTTTAGCTATAGCTTACCTGAAGTTGGGCAATACTCATGAGTATTTCATAAAACTACTGTTATTTAAATACAACAAAAGCTGACAGAATGCTTTGTTCCTTCTCACAGTAAATGAAGACTGTACCCGATTTTGTCAAATAGCACTTCTTTCATGGCTCAGGCAGCAAAGCCACCAGCTCCAGCAGCACCTGCATTGCTATACTTCAATACTTCTAGAAGCTTGATGTTTCCACCTTTATTTCCACACCAACCCTAATCAATACTGCAGTGTTCCCAGACTGCTGCTACATAATCTTGGTGAAGGAGGGGGAACCTGGGCCTTTACCTGCCCTGAAAAGCTGAAAAATATCAAACTTTCTTCAACTAAAATCCTTCTAAAACAAGGGGAGTTAGAAGCCAGTCATCTTAACTTCCACAGATAAAAGCACAACTCATTTTAACATCAGCATGAGTAGTAAGATCTGACTATCTCTGATTCAAGTGTTACTATCACTTTCATTCAGAGTATGCATGTTTCTTCTCTGTAAAGTTTGCTGTTGTATTTTAGCAATTAATGTGCAGAAGCGAGTTTAAAGTACAACTAAGTAAACAAGAAAAACAACAATAAAATCTGTCTGTATTGATAAGAGCTCACACAATTCTAAGATGCATCCTCTAGTTAAAATAAGCATTATTGTGCAGGTTCTCCCTTGCAGTCCAGATGGATATTCTTATGACAAGAAACACAAATGCCACCCAAAACCAACTAACTGATCCCATAACATCCCATTAGCTGTATAATGTGAAGCTCTTTCTCTGCTAGGCATGTCTGTGGTATTATCCAACAACACAACATTTAAAATAAGCAGCAATGTAAAATTTTCAGAATTGAAGCAAAAATTCTGTGAACTATTTGTTTTTCAGCTTTATACCTGAACCACTTTAAATGATTACTTTTCTCTTACACACATGCAGAATTAACAACAGTGAACAAAGTAAAGTTTGATTCAAATACGAAATACAACCTATACAACAGATCTGCTGACAGTGCCTTCCATCTAAGCCATTTCTCAAGCAGCTTTAGCACAAGTTTGGATTTTACAGGAAAAGTCTGTTAATAGAATACCTGTCTAGAAGGAACAGCAGGGGAAGCTGAACCAACAGATGATGGAGAAGAGGCAGCAGCTGAATCGTGAGGTGGAGGGCAAGAGGGAGTTGGGGGCTGAGAATGGGATAAGCCTTTAGTAGGTAGCTTATTCTGTGTAGAGCAGAAACAGGAAAGTTATCCAAGAAACAGTGACATTAGCACAGGTTAAGAGAATAATTTCACAGTCATGCATCAAAAAAATAAGAAAGATAACTACACTTCTATTCTATTCTCTATTTTTGCACAGTGAGGAGCCATGGAAATCATCTCGGCAAAACCTTCCCAGCAAATGATAATATTGTACTCAGTTTTCTTATCAAAAATATTTACAGTGGGCAGGAAGGTAAGATAGTGCTGGGAGAAAGCATACGAAACATAAGAAATGCCAGATTGCACTAAGAGCTACTGCTCAGCAATTCACAAGAAACTGTGAGCTCCCAGTGTATACTCAAGCACAAGATAGGGTTTAGTCTAACACATTTCTCTTGTGCTAAAGTACTTTGACTAGCTTTATGATTTAAATTGTGTTTTACCTCAATTCAATTATGCAATAATATGTAAACAAAGATTTTTTTATCAGTTTCAGTGGAATCCACATTACTTTTCAGATCCACCCAAGATGAAAGGGAATTTAAAAACACCTCATTTTTTCCCCCCATGAATTCTTATGCGTCTTCTAACTCAGTACGTCTTCAGGTGCAAAACCTAATATTCACCTTTGGAAACTCCATGTAGCCAAACATTGAGGCAAGATGTGCTGCTTTTTCTTTAATGTTCTTTTTATGGAATTCCCTATTTGCTATGGTCTGAGCTCTTTTCTGCAATAAGAGCCAGGGAAGGCAAGCCAAGGAAAGAAAGAGAGAGATATATCAGTTAATGCCACATACATCATCAGAATACAGCAAGTTTGTAGAAAGACTTCTTCTTGTCTTAAAATGAACTAAAGTCAACAGAGAAAAAGCCAGCACATTCAGAGAAAGTACAGTATACAGATTAGCATATGCAGTTAAGAGACAGAAAGGAAAATAAATTGCTTGTCACCTGTTTCATTTTTTCCTCCAGGTGCTGAAGACGCTCAAGCACTCCAGAAAGTACAAATGCAGCAGAACAGGCAGATGCAAGATTTTCAGAGGTTTCTGACAGACTGGGCTGGGTATCTGGTTTTTGTACAGTCCTTGCTCTCCTGGCCATATGATCAGAACCGTTTAAAGACTGTTTGGGCTCCCTGACCTCGTGCTCACTCCTAGCTACCACCTGAAACTAGGAAACACTTGAAGTGAAAAAAATTTACTTGCTTTCTGCACCACCATGCAGTATATGCAGCTTTTAAGGATGCTTCTGAAAGCACCGCACAGTCATGCACATAACTAGAAATAAAATGTTCTCATATCACTTTTTGCACACTATTTACTGCATCTCTGATGACTGTGTCCATGCACTGAAATAAATCAGTCTTACATAACTTATGCAGGTCTTGACATGCTTCTCTAGGTTTGTGTCTGTTTTTATGAATAACCCCAGATAGCATCACTGCAGAAGAACATGACACTACATCTCCTTCTAGGGTTTTTAGCAAACGTTTTGGGTTTTATTTTTAGCATCACATCTGCCCGAAACTAAACTTACAATGAAATTGTAAGAATAGCAATGTAGTTCTTGGCATAATTCTAGACCTAGTCTGACCCAAATCGAGTTACGATGTATTTCAGATTTAAAGGATTTTCTGAGGAGTTCAGAATAGGCCTCTGAATTTGAATCTTCATTTAAAATAACTTTTGAAATAAATGAAATATCAGAACCAGTTCAGCTTTATCAAATGCAGTCTTAAAAATGACTGTCCAGTGGTCTTTTCATGACAGTTTTCATCTTATCTGTCCAGTTTCTCAGGATTAAAATTAAAAAAACTAATGCAAATTAATTTGAAGTATGCTCCTGATGTTTCAGGGTAGCACATCTGTTTTTAAAACAACAATTCTCAACTGGTTTATGAATCTTCATTTTTCATCAAACTGATCTGCAGATTACCACATGCAATGAAGATCTCATTTCATTGCAGACTACTTCTGAAATGCCACTACAGGATATTTACTTTCATTTAAAATTGCATGTCAGTACTATTTGATATGAGACTGCTCTCATTGGAATTACTAAGAGAAAAATTTAGACAATGTATTAAAAAATTTTGCCCCATGTATATGATACTGCAAAGAGTTTTCATCAGGAATTCTTATCACAAATTCTACTAGGCATCAATATCAGATTTTCAATGCTCAAGTTTTATATCTTAGATATTTTTGCTAGGTTTCTTGGGGTGGAAAACTCCCTTTGCCTTACCGTTACACAACAGCTCAAACCATCAAGTACATGCATAGACAAATTTTCAGGTACTGCTGTAGTTTTCTCACATGTTAAATGCAGGTATGTAATTATATTTATAAAATTTAGGGTCTAGATGTGATAACACAGAAATCAACACCTATGTTTTTAGGGTTTTTTTCCACACAGTTACTAATTCTTTCAAATAGTTTTCTGATCTGGTCAAGCAGGTATAAAATAGCCTTAAACTTTAATATAGTTTTCAGAATTCTCAGCTAAATATATCTGTTAAATCTGCAGATTACATCCAAATATTGTTTTATATATTCTGAAGTTACACAATAACATTGAGTTCCCAGTAGTAAGAGAAATGGTATACTTGTGAGCTGTTACCCATATGAGTTCCTACCTGCCTTTTTGGTTGAGGTGGAAGATGATTTGGATCCTTAGGTTTAGCAAAGCGAGGATTAACAGGAGGGTCAGAAGAGAGCAGGGCTGGTCTATCTATTAGCTCCTTGTAAAGCATTTTTAAAATTATAAAGACAGAGTGGAAAAAAAAAAAAAAAAGGAAGACAGTAAATAGGATTCAAAGACCTTTTGAGGCAGAAAGAAATAAAAGCTGCTTTTAAAGACACGGAGCTTAACAACACATTTTGCAGATTTTTGTCACTTACCCATTTTATTAACCCCTTCTACCATCAAAGATATACTTAAAATTCAGCACATTGAGTGTTCTTTAAGAGAGCTTATGGCCAAAAGGTAATGTATTGAGACTTCCTTCAACATGGCCAAGCAAACCTTTGCATTATTTAATATGCAGAGATTTCATGCAGAAAGCTCAGGTCATTGACAAGTAGCCAAGTAGAGTGCAAGCAACAGTGTTCGTGGACTGAGAAAGTCACTTGACTTCTATAAAGCTTACGCTTCAGGAGGACTTAAATATGTAAATAAACAAATGGATACAAGAACAAAGCATTAAGAAAGCCACCAGCCTTGACAGAACCTTGACACTGTGCTTGTCCTTCCTTCAGATCTTTTAGGTGACAGATCTGAACTCAGCTGATTCAAACCATCTCACTGGCTGAAGTGTGATTTTGAGCTTATCATTCCTACCTTGACAGCATGGGATTATTTTTGAAGCACCACTAGTCACACTAACAACACACTATGAAAATGCTGTGGAATGTACAAATATATTCCACTATGCCTAGGAAAGGAAAAGACAGACAGACATATCTTGCAAAAGATTAGGTTCCCCTCTTACACCTTCTAAATTTTCCGCAAAGAAAGATTTAACTGAATATGTAGTGTCCCTTATTCACAGAATATAGGAAAAGAAGTCCTTCTGCAATACTATATGCATCCAGGTTAGATTTACACACAAAGCAAAAGTTCTAGAGACTGGTTTACAAGAGATTTCCAGAGATTACACTTCCACTACACTTTGTTAATATAATATATATTGTTACATTATATTAATATGCATTAGTCAACCTATATTAGTCATGTTGGTTCACTGAGTATTGAGAGGAATAGCTTTAATTTGCATAAAGTCTAAAACAAAGACAAGCCACTTCAAACACATAACAGATCCATTTTTCCCTTGGAAATCTGCATCACATTCACAAGGAGGGACTACACTTTAATTTCAGAGATTACTTTTACATTCATCTATGACCTACCTGCCTCCGAAAAATTGTATTTGGAGCATTCTCTTCAAACTTTGCCAACAGTTGAGTTGCCATTGATTTAACTTTATTCTGGTTCGTTCCTTCTCTGCCGTCACTCTGTTCTTTCCCAGCATTTGTCTCTTGGCTTGAAAAGCTTGAAGCCTGCAAAAAAAACAAACTATGGTTTTCTCAAGTTTACACACGACACTCATGAAGAGAGAAAGAGAGAGAACATCCTTATGAGCAAAGGGTGAAAGGAAATACAGTCTACAGTGTATTAAAAATTAGACTGTTTAGCATGCAAGTCACCAAAAAAATATTTTCTTTGGTCCCAGAGTACAGTAAAATGGGAACATTAATCTGTGCTGGTTATAATAAAGCAGAATCACAAACATAACTAATCAGAGAGGGACTAGGAACCAAGCTGCAATGCAAACTCTTCAGATAAAAATTTGTTTAAATAATTGAGTTGGGAAAAGTTAAAAAAAATCCAATACCTTAAATGTTCTTGGGTCAGAAAGAAAACTAATGCAATTTAGGTAATGTTCTCCTTCCTACCAAATGATTTAAATAAATTTAGCTCTTTAGTGCACACCACAGTAAATTCAAGATTTTAAGGGAAGAGGCTTTTTGCTCCTGCCAAGGACAAGAGGCCAAGCCCTGGTCCCTTAACCTCTGCTGCTTCCTCAGCTCTGGTGTTCATCAAGAAGCTGGATATGTGTGGACACCGCTGAACACCTACCTCCTCAAAGACACCAAAAAGACCTTTTCGACGTCTTTTGTTAGTCTCATTTTCTTCCGTATTCCCTTCAACCTGAAATGGTAAAGGCAAAACAACATCCATGGATTACTGTAGCAGTTACCAGTTTTACCAAAGCGATTCCTCCCAGGACATTAACTTTCATAACCAGGCAAGTGTGTCTGTCCTGTGTTCTACAAGGCAAACACAGGTGAGCCGCACCAGCACGCCTTGCTAGGCCCCCCCCTGCTCAGCCAAATCGTTCCTCACGTGGGGAGCCTGGTGGCCCTCGTGGCAGCTATCGTGTATGTAAAAGCTACCCTGTAACCCCTGACTGGAGCTCTTGCTGGACTCTGATAGGTGAAAATACATGCTTGTACACTTTGTTAAACACAGGCCCTACAAGGCTGCTGCTGACGTTTTCTTCTTTCAGTACTGAAGAGTTTATAATTCATAAAGCACTAGCACATCCTTGAAGAAAAAGGCATTACAGCATCAGCTGTTCTGTGAATTTCAGACTACACTGGTTTCAAGGTAAGTAACAAAATCCAGAAACTCCTCACTCTTTCACTATAACGTCCACATCTCTTTTAACCTACATATCTGCGCACAGATTTCTGTGTTCATAGTGCAGACACATCTCCTTTTTTGGAGCAATTACCGTCTGCCTTAAAGGTCTGTCCCCCTTGTAAGGTTCATCTCCCTGACTATGGCTCTACATTACAATACTTAAGCAATCAAATTTCCTTTTTTTGTGCTCAAGCTATGCACATATTTAATTATTTTACTGAACTAGAGATTACATGGATAATAAATAATACTTCATACTCAGTGCACACACACTTGCAAAATAGTGCTTAAATATTTGTATCAGTTCTTACCAAATTCAGTCTTGAAGACCTGATACAATGGAGAGATTTTTTCATCTGATAAATGTCATGTTAGGTTATACTTCATGAACAAGAAACTACCTTCCACTTAGATAATTTCACCCACACTGCAATTTAGAGATTGCTCAGCCAAATTAAAAAAAAAAAAAAAAAAAAAAAAAAAATCAAAGAATGCAGGCTTCCTTTTTACATATACACTGTTTGTAATAAATCATTATTCAATGAATAGAAGTAATCCCAAACAACCTCTGAGCAAACACCAAAAGAATCAGATGACAGTATTTTGATTATTTCATATGCTTTGGTGCATTGTCTTTCAAGCACCAGCTCTCAGTAACCTTGCTTTACGCTACCTATAGTCATTAGTCTGCCAAGGAAGAGTAAACAACATAACAGCACAATGTAGTCTGCATAATAATCTGTACCACATAAAAGTGGAATTTGCCTAAGTGAATGGAGCAAACAAGATGTTGCCTTTCAAAAATCTTACATAAAGGACTTTCATTAACGTATTTACAAAAAAAAAAAATGAAAGACAAAGCAATTTAATTGCCTAGCAAAACTACAAGAAAAATGACTGTGTCCTTTATTGTGTAAAGGCCTCCATTCATTTATTAGTCTGGAGCACAGGAAATCTCAGTTCTTCTCCAGCCCAGCTGACACTCATAGGAGAATTGAAAACATTATCCCACCCAGCACACTCCGCCAAAACAGCCATGGCCACACCATCTCCAGGACCCTGCTTCCTGGTCTCTCCCAACCTGCACCCAGATAAGGATCCCTCTTCCAGCCAAATGAAACAAGAAACTAATGGTACAGAAAGTTTAGTAAGAGACAGGGTTACCCCGGTTGTTTTTGACTCTGTGATAGGCAAGTGCTCTCCTACTGTCATACCTGGGTAACACTCAGCACCACTTTTTGCTGGAGAAAGAACCATAAAACTGAAGCCACAGCCAAACTCTTAACTCAAGCAGCTGCTTTCCAAGGAGCTTCACTTCTCAGCTAGTTTCAGATGGTTAAGGCACTCACAAGTCTCTGTCCTAACCTGAGTACTATTTGTTGCTTAGTTTCACACCCTCTCCATGACAGGGCTGCAAAACCTCATAACAAAATAAGGTCTTGACAGTCCCTCCCCCCAAGCTGATTTGGAAAATATCACTTCCACTTCTCATTTCAAATGAGACCCTGTAATGTGAAACCAAAAGGGCCCATCAAGCAAATCACCTCATGCTTTCATGTAGTGCCAAGAACTATACCTCCTGTTATGACAGAAGGCTTCGTGACGGGAGTTTAGTCAGAGGGCTGTACGGCTTACTAATGGAAAGCTCACCCACTACTAACAGTCTATTTACTTCTGCAAATAACTCATGGAAAAACAACAACACTGTGGTCATGAAAAAGGTTTTTCTTATAAAGAAGTCCCCCACAAGAAAAAGCAGTGTTTATTTTCCCTATTTGGTTTCTCACTGCTTGGTTATCTGGGAAACTTGGTTTTGTGTTTATGTGGGTGACAGGGAAAAGTTATTTCATAACAAGAATATCTGGGCTTACTGGGCAATTGATTGTCCACAGGTTTTGAAAATGTGTTTGTGGATGGAAAATATTCAGGATGTAAGTCAGTCTAGGAAATATCTGAAAATCATGGTGTAATACTTCAAATGGGGGGGGGGTGGAAATCACGTTTCTACCAAAACTGAGAAGATAGCAACAAATTTAAAAAGCAATATAGTAAAATACTGAGAAATGCAGTACACACATGTACACCTGAACTTTTATGAAGGACACTGAATTCCAAAAGCAGTAGGAAATCTATATTTTTGCAGGTAAAACTTAGGGTCTCTGCATAGGTGTAAATGAAGCAATACAGTTAAGCATTAAGGAGGTCTGTTTCAAAAAAAAAAAAAAAAAAAAAGAAAAAAAAACAACAACAAAAAAAGAACTTGAGAATCATCATAGTTGATACATATTTTCTGGCTAGCCCAGGAAACTCAAAACCTGGAACAGTTTTGCATTAAGTTGTGTTTCAGAAAATGCAGAAGTTAAATTCATTTTGGTGGAGGAATTTGTGCTGCTTAATTTGCAAGAGTTGTGCTTGAGACACTACTGCCTCTGAGCCAGGCTGTGCAGACACTCCCCATTTAAATTGAAGTTAAAATGAAGGTAGACTTGGCTGTAAAAGCAAAGCCCCTCCCTCAAGGTCTCCTTTCAGAAGAGAACCATGTTAATGAATAGGAAGAAGGTGAAACAGTTTATTACTGAATAATTTCATTAGAGTAGCTTTTAAATTAAATCATATAAAACTTTTGAAGTTATAATCCATTCAGAAGCATATAGACAATACTCTCACTGCACACAGTCCTCTGCCAGACAGTATTAACTCAAGTCTCCATAATCCTTCAAGGCCCTGGAATTTTTAATTGCAACAAGTATGGGCATGAATGTATTTTATACAGGGACGTAAGCAGGACATGTCAATAAGTTTTCATTAATAAGTGACCAAGGGAGAAAAGTATATGGGTACGACTAAGAGATCATTATCTCAAAGTCACACCAGTCAACCTGCCCACTGTTTGTCACCGTTGCAGGGTTTATACTTCCATAAGGGTTTGAAAGCTTCCCCTCCAGAATCTTGACAGCAAGTACAAGCTGTTCAAATCACTGCTTTCATTAAAAAACAGCACTCCCTCCCAATCAATAAACATTCTGGTACACCAGTGATTGTTTGAACTGATATATAATATTATGGGTTTATATTTAACTAGGAATGCAGAACTATAGTACTATTTTTCTAAAAGGTAGAAATAGCCCAGAAAAAATCCAGAGTTTCCTATCTCAAAAAAACAAACAAACCCAAAGCCCCCAAAATAAAAAGCTTAGCATTTAGCATTGCACAAAACCTCCTAAAAACATCTTTTGAAAAATTTCCAAAAATAAAACGTAAGAGACAATAACACCTAACAGAGCCAAGATCTCAAATATTTCAAATTGAAGACAGCAACTTATAAACACATCAAATAAAACATCCTCCTCCTCTCACTTTTACCTTGACTGTAAAAGATTGACATGGACAATGGATACAAGTTCTCCCCAGGTACACCCAAATTCTCACTGTGATTTGAAACTTTGCATTTACAGAGAAAGCTTACCTGGGACTGTTATTAATGCTTCAGCAATTCTACACTGACAGTGCTTCAGTTTTATTCTTACAAACATCATAATGATTGAGTGTGCATGTGCATGTTAACTTTGCTTACTGTTAAATTTGATTTTACTTTTTAATATGCTCAAAAGTCTCCTTGTACAGGTCTTTTAATAGTAGGATATAGATAAAAACGCCTTCTGTCTGAGCCTGAGAGTTTATTTTCATCTTTTTAAACAAGAAATATATATAGGGTTAAGTCTTCCTTCACAGCTTACCTTTGGTACTCGTTTTCTTGGTAAAGTTAAATTGATATAATTATTAAAGATGAAGTTCGATGATTTTGCTGAACAAAGATCATTGTTTTCTCCATTTTGCTTGTCACCAGCATCTGTTCAAAAAACAACTGCTAAGGATGTTTGTTCAGATTTCTTTTTTAAATACTTTGACTAAGACAGAACTTTCCAGCAGAGTGCTGGTAGAAATTATATGTAAGAAACCCAGACAAATAAGAGTAAATACATACCATGTAGGGTGACTTTTTAAAAAAGGAAGAAAACCACCTAAGAATGAACATGCTGTCTGCAATCATCCTTACCAGAGAATCATTCTAACGACCTGATACATCAACTTCATGATGTCAAGCAGCAGTTATCCAGCTGCTCCTGTTCTCTGAAACCACTAAGGACCCACAAAATCCTGGTCTTCAGTCAAGTTTTTTTCCCTTTCCTTTTTTAAGCACAAGGTAACTATTGCTGACAGAAGCAGAAATGCTTCCATGCCAGAATGGCTCAGCTGGGAAAGGGCTCTTGGCTCAAGAGCAGTGCTCATAAGCAGCCTGGATGAAGTGCTTCTGCTTCCCAAACTTGCAAGGACTGGGAGCAGTCTGGGTTCGGCTTACCTACTGCCCGCAGAGGCGTGCCCCTGAAGAGTTCGTAAAACTTGGAGAGGTACATGACCATGCTGAGCTTGTCGGGCTCCCCGGCCGACCCCACCTCCTTCCCTGTGGTCACAGGGGGGATCCCAAACTCCTGCTCAGCCACATCGAATGCCAGCTGGTTGTTTTTGACAACGTCCTCTTCGTTCAGAGCATCAAAGTCGCTGCGGGGACAACACACTGGCATCAGTGGTGGTTTGCTCTCTGCCCCTCTCAGAAACACACAGTGCTCCCCTGCCCGTCGGAGAGGTGCAGAACAGCACCGTGAATGAGGACATAGGGATTTCACTGGCTCAAAGCTATGGAGTCTACCAATGCCAAAGGTAAGAGTCTCATACAAATCCTGGCATTGCCAGAAATGTAATTTAAATGCTAGTTCACTGAATTGGATTTTGATGTAGTCCCATGAAAAAGGATTCCTGTACTTGTGAAGAAATGCAACTTCTCCTCAGATGTGCTAAGAAACCTTTTTCTTTCTCCAAATACAGCTGTGGTGCTACAGATTTCACCTGTTAGCAATTGACTTATTCATTTTGATTAGTTCTATAAATCATCAAACCCAGGAGGAGTAGGTTTAGGCTAGCATTTTATAAACCAAATATGTTATATGTGTGCACACACACATGCACAGGCACTACATTTCTTTTTAGGGTGTTACACACACAGTTTGAATGAGGACCTCCTGCCCATGTCATTACCGGATTTAGCAGTGCACTAAATAAGCACACCACACATCTGGAACTGCATTATCCATTCTCTAATCCATTTTCTATGGGACCTATTCTAAGACTCTGATCCTTTGAACAGCTTCCAAAATTCATGATTAAAATAAACATGTGAATAAATTACAAAGCTCCAGGCAGGGTAGTTTCTTTCTCCTCATAAGGAATGTGAGTTTTTGAACCCCAAAGAATTCTTCTCTCTCCCCTCATCCAAACACTCTGCCTATTTCTGGAGCCAGGGGGCTGCAGGCAGCTCTCCACCCTAGTCCTGCCCACAGCCCACAGGCAGCCACTTCTCCTGCCTGGCCAGCTTTCATCTGGCCAAGTCCTTCAGCAGTCCCATTTAATAAAAAAAGCCAATAAGATCCAAACACAATGTTAATTAAACAGCAAAAGGTCTGTTTGCTCAGGAAGATAAATCTATCAACTTTCTAGAGAGCAGTGCTTTCTGCAGACAGCAAATACTGCCTTGCTTTCTGCACCCTTCCCCCCACCTTATATCCACAAAATCATCCATAATTCCCCCCTTTTTTTTTTTTTTTTTAAAAAAAAACTAACCCAAGGCAAAAAAAAAAAAATCTTATTCTTACGTTAGCTCTTCCTCTGGCAAAGCTGTACAAACAAGCACCCTGCGTATCACTCCTATTTTTTCCAACATACCACACCTCATAAAAGAGCTGGATCATTTATTTCATTTATCCACAATAAATGGAGGAGGCTGATAATCATTCATTTGCAACCCCAAGTCTTTGTAGGAAGGCAAGAGAATGCATTTTGGAAACTGGTGAGAGGGCACAAGAGTCACCCCACCACAGACTGCATCAAGCAGGCCCAGTAACCCCATGTCAGCAATTGCCATTTCCTGATACCTGTTACATGCTGACCCTCTTATATCTAACCGAGGAACCTGACAAAATATTCATACATAATAAACTGTGTCTTGTAGGATTAGGACCCCAAAAACACTGTCAAAAGGGAAATGCTGGCTTACATTCTATCCCTAAAGCAGTGAATTTTCAAGGGCCATCCTTTGTTGTATAGTCCACGTGCAAGGGCATCACTCTCTTCTGGACAAAGAGTTGTGCAAAACCACCATGTCCTGTGCATCTCCATGGCCCACCGTTTCCCTACATGACTGTCACAGCAACCAGTACAACATATGGAGGATGGTCCATTTAAGGCTTATCCAAATATTTCTGTAACTCATGACAGTGCCATTATGGCTGTGGTTTTATACGTACACTAAAAACTTGTCTCCAGGGACCAGGGAATGCAACTCTCACATTCTTCAAGCATTGCAATTTTTGTTTCAAATAGCCATATGATTCCCACAAACATGATCATAAATCATAAGGTTCAAAGCCTTCCTAGCTCTTTGAAAGCATATATATTTAATTTTAAATAGCATGCAAGGACATACAGAAGAAACAAAGCAAAACCAACCCCACCCTCTCCGTCCCCCAAACCTGGCAATGGTGCGCACCTCCTTGCAAAAAACAGTAACAGAGGGGGACTGTTGAGTATCAGTGCTGTACTGATTGGTCTTACACTGTAATTTGGTAAATGCTTAATATCTCCTACACCCAACAAGGTCTGCAGATGTCACTCACATGAGGTCAGGTCTGAAGCGATGGATAATTGCACACAATGCAAGGCCACTTTTCCAGGAGGTAGTCAGGTCTGTGATGCTAACGTTACGGTACCCTTCTGTTTGTTTCTGACACCAGGTCAAAAGCTTGTTAGGTCGAATATCTGACTCTGCAGTTACAGTGGAGAGCAAACATTTCAATCAGATTTTGTATGCTCAGAAGGCTCCAAATATTAAGCCATAGTAAACATGAGATGTCACATACCATGTCTTGAGAGATTCACTGATCTTCTAACAGAGCCCACTCTTTCAAGAGGACATTGCTGTAACTCATTGGTAACATATAATTGTCTCACCTACAAGTAAAAGCAATTAGCAGTATAATGTTAGAATTGTTTGGAGAGAAAAAAAGGTTTTTTTCTAGGTTAATTTTATCAACAGCTGGTTCTAAATTAAGGAGTCTCCTAAAGATTTTGTTTATCTACTACTTGCAGCCCTATTTCAACTGGACAAAAAAATAAACTGCGATTTCACAAGCAAGCCTTTTAAGTACTGACCTGGTGAGGTCGAACACAGCTTGAGTTCAAGTTCGGGTATCTTGTTCCTGGATCAATTGTATACTGGTCAAAGTTCTTGTTAATATTTTCAGGGGTAGTCTGAGGCAAGAGTCGATAAATGCTCTCTCTTATAGAGGATAAAAAAAAAATAATCAAGATATATTAATTAAAATAAATATTTTTTATATAAAGAGTATTTTATTCATGTAGCTACCTGCATCTTATTTTGATTCTGCCAATACAAGTGTTACGCACTAAATGCATAATAAATCCATCCCATTTCTTATGCCTGTTCAGCAGGAGAAGGATGCCAGCCAGCAAAAGGACAACAAAAGAACAGACTCTTAGAACTTATGCCCATATTTTCCTGAGGCAGGAAGCAAGCAAGAAAAAGAAGAAAAAAATAAAAAAAAAAGGGGGTTACATCATCCAGTCATCTGGTTTTGCTTTAATGTCCACCCAAGGAGTAACTTCTTTACCACATAACAGCACTAAATCCCGTCATTCTGTAATTCCTATAACCACCACAGCCTTTTTTATTATGCTGTTCAATTTTCCATTTGGGACTATGCCATGTTTGAGTCATCCCACAGGCTTCTATCTTAAAACTTCTCAAAGCACTATACTTCTACTTGCATTACCACAAGCGTGAGTATTTCTATTATGTATCTGCCCCAAAACAGCTTGGGTAGCTGTAGTGGAGCAGGGCAGCTGCCATCAGGACCAAAGTCAGCAACTTCAACCATCAGACCATGGCAACACCAGAACTGCTGGTGTACTAAACAACAGATTTTTTGCTCTGGTCAAAAAGACACTAGATAAAGAAGCTTATGATACAGCACCATAACAATTCTCCTTTGCCACACATAAAGAGGGCATCAGGGGTATTAAGCTAAAATGCAGAGTTAAAATCACAGATACCAACTATGAAAGCTGATGAAGTATTTATTTAGACTTGTTTCAGGATTATTTTTTTTTATATAAAAAAAAAAAGGTGCTGAGAAGGTTGGAGGGTTAGTCTTTTGACACACAGTATCTTTGGTTCATTTCCTTAAGGATCACACTTAGTTCTAGTCATTAGTGACTTAGTGTTTTAAACCCATGTCATGCACATTGCTGGACTTCTGAATTAGTATACAGAAGCTTACAGAGCAACGGCCTACTGCTATTGTAAATTGTTCAGTAACCTGAAGGAATAGGTGATTTCAACCCAATGCCATTGCAGTGAAGAAGAGTTTCTCCTGTTGGCATTCTGAATTCCACTGCCTTCTGCCAATACTGCATTTATTTAAAACACTGGAAACAATGGAGAAGACAAAACCAGCACTCACCGTTCAGCAAGGATTTCTAACGAGGGTTTTCCTTGAGCCCAGCTCCGCACCATCCATGCAGTATCAAAAGCAGCTAAGAAGCCTCTTGCACAGCCAGTACCCATTGGCCAGAAGGGCTGTAAGAAGCATTTACATTTTAATTCCTTTTATTTCTCAAGGTCTTACTACAAAAGTAACTTGCAACATGAATTTGGAGTCTAGGGTTTCATACTGTCTTGGAAAAGTAGTCCAGAAAGAGTTAAAATACAACACAGCCAAGTCCTGCAGTTTTCAGACACGTCTTTCCTCCAAGTCTTAGGTAATGAAAAAGACTGCCTTCACTTTTCCTTTTTTTAACTTCTATATTTAACAACAAATTTCTTAACCTCAAAAGGTAAAGGCTGAGAAGAAAAAAAAAAGACTCAATACACAAGAATTAGTCAAGGAAAAAAGATGCCTTTCTTCTCATCTCCTAATTTCACTTTGGACTGATCTTTTCAAACACTTCAGACTGTCAGCATGAGTTTAAAAAAAAAATAATTAGTTGCAACATACACTTTTCACTTCAGAAAGAGAAAAAGAAAGCATATCAAGGCAAACAAACTGCAATAAAAATTTGGACCAAGTTTTTCTCTATGATGGACATCAGGAAAATTATATCATGCACCCAAGCTGAGGACACACGGCTCACAGTTTTCAGACAAAAATACAACTTGCATAAAGCAAAACAGGATCTCAGCCAGAGACTGCCAGCCAAGCATTAGTTATGACATAAATTATGGCATAAAAAAAGAAAAAAGGGAAAAGAACCTATTCCAAAGAAGGTACCATTGTTTCAGGACATGTAAGAGAGGACAGTTTGTTTTGAAGGGTAGACTGAATAGCTGGATTAAGAAAAGAAAAAAAAAAAAAAAAAGAGAAAAGAAAGAAGTCTACTTGGAAGACATTCCAAGATATACCTCAAGCAAACTATCTCCAACAAGCGCCACCAGGAGCTGATGCCTGTGCCTCTCCCTCACTAGTGCAGCATTTTCAGATGCGTACATGGAAGTAAAATCAAACATTGCTACGTCTGGTTGCCCATAGTGATTGATTGCAAAATCCAAGGAAGGCAGCTGGTAATTGGTCGCAAAGTCAGCAGCTTCTCTGGCATAGGACAGCAAATTGCTCTGGTTCACATTTTCCCCACAGAGGAGCAACTCAGTATCAATATAGTCCTGCAAGAAGAGGAGTGCTAGGATTAGGTACTCAGACTATCCTCTTTGGACTGGAATGTCACATTCTCATAGCATGAGTGGCAACCACACATCTCACTGCATAAAGAACCAAGTGAGACTTGTCACCTCCTCCAAAAAGTTAATACACAAACATAGGTTACTGTACTACCCCAGACAGGAACTCTCTATGCCAACCCTGAATAAGCAGCTTTATTTGCAACAGAACACTGTAGTGCCCCCCAGTTATGTGTTATTTTCATAACACTACTTCCTGCCCATCAGAAGATGTTATCATCATCACTGCAATGTTTTTTTGCATGTGTGTACCCCACATCTGAAACCACATGAGAGCAGAAATACTGATGTACTGATGATGCAACACGCGGGTCTCAGCCTGAAGGTTTGACTTAACATCTCAGTAACAACACATGCAAACTTGGATTGTAGCAGCTTTTCTGTTGTTCTGTTTCGGGCTGGAGGTCTTTTTGGCCAGTGTGGTGGAAGACCCTGCCTTTACAGGTCATCCTACTTAAAGCCAGTGATTATTAATAAGGTAGTTTCTATTTATAGCTTAATCATGAATGAGACCCCTAATTGCAGGGATGATACCACAGAACTGCTATTAGCCCCATTGTTTTAGACAGACTGGGGTTTTTTCCACTCAGACCTGAGCAGGTCAGGAAAAGCAGCTCTGATGGGCCACAGCCACCACTCCTCCCAACCCCCTACAGATCTGTGGGACTGCACCCACCTACAAACACCCACCCCTCAACCCCAGGGCCAGCGTCCTGCTCCCCCTCACTGCTGGGGGCTGCCGCCTTTGCTACGGCTGGGCAAGGCTGGCTGCTCTGCCCGCAGAGCCCCTGTCCTCTCAAAAGGGCAGGAATCATGGTACTGAGCTTAGTTGTCCCATCAGAAAGACAAGAAGCCTTCTGATAGCTCCCCACAAGTACTTCCTTCGGGAAATTATACTCAACTCTTTTGGCACTCTCATACTTTACAAGAAAAATTGACTTCTCTTGGGTTTCCAGGAAGAGAAATTTAAATGGTGCCAAACCACTTCCTAGAAACAAAAGAAAACAAACCCTACCTCTTACAGAAAAAGAAAAAAAAAAAAAAAAAAAAGGCCTCTAAGTCTGAAGTACTTTTGAAAGTTCAAGCCATTGTGTTTATAGCCTCCTTTTATCATGTTTCACCGACTTCAGAGAATATACAATTTAGCCTGGGGTAGGTTTTAATGCTTCCTTGTTTGCCTGATTAACTTGGACATAGCTATGCTAAGATCACCCTTAAATAAATGATTTTTAAATTTTCTGGTGTGATGACCACACCACATATTTCCAAGGTGAGTAAAGATCCCATTTCAGCCAGTTTCAAAACTGACAAATTTAGGAAGTATTGTTTTCAGTTCTCTTCAGACACTTTGTGCTGACTGGAGGGAAAAAAAAAAAAAAAATTCAGAATAAGATCTAAGCAATCTGAGCTTCAATGAAGTGATCCAGTATCTCTATAAACACCCTTTATAACATGCAACAACATTTATGCCAATGTTCACACTTACTCTGTGCCAAGTAAATAAAATAGCTTTTTAGCCAACATTTTTACATACATTAATAATCACTCCTTTGTCCAGAAGACTCTGCTTTTTTGCTGTCATCACAAAATAATGAGTGCTATCTTTATAGTAAACAATATTCTCCAGATCAATTCCTAAAAAGAGATAATGCATTTGTTATGAAGTGCAGTGCATTGTCTGTGTCATTTACTAACAACATGTGATTGCTCCCCAGAGGTGTTTCCTCCTTGGGATACATTCACTTTCCCAGCTGGGATGAAGCATTAATTGACAAGATTCAACAAAACAAAACAAGAGAGGAGATCAGCCTTACCCCACAAGAGTTTGCCTCAGTATTATTAAAAGTTATTTAGCATCCTTTTAAGGAACAGCCTGTTAACTACAGGCTTGACAATCTTCTGAGGTAGGAAAGGGGAGCCAAGGGAACAAACTGCTTTTTAGGTTGCTAGGGCTCCAGCATCGGGTCTAACCAGGAGTTTTGGTTTCTATTATAATAATGATAATTAAAAAATAAAATCAGCTGTAAATTAAGAATGGAATTGCTTGTACTGAGTGGATGCAACTATTCCGAAACTCCTTTTCATAAAGATGTATTTCACAGTTTATATTTTAAGTATTTATGGCAGATTCCTGCCTAGTTCTTTTCAGTTTATCAGATCTACACATCAAACAGCAAGAATAAACTCCTCCCAAAAAGGCAGAGCCTTTTTCACAGGGCTTAAGCTGTTCAGTATGTGAACAGATACAAACAAAACAAACCATGTCTTAAGGGAAATCTCTGGGCACTGAAAATGCTCTTCTAAATTTGTTCAACATAGCAGACATTTTTACAGTTGAGAAAAATTTAAACATTAAAACAAGCTATTATGTGGCACCATCCAAGCTAAAAAGAAAAAACATACCCCACTGTACCATAAATGGGCACCTCCATCTCCAAGATTCTGACATCAACAGCACTTTATCACTTTTTTTTTTTTTTAATACAATAAATTTAATTTGATGGTAATAGGAATAGGAGGGTGGAGTGGCATATAAAGAGTTCTAAAGAGTTATTCTACTGACTCTTCCACTTGGATGTGGAAAAAAATGATGATGGACCCACCCGTTTCCTCTTTAAGGTCCTGGAAGAACTTCTGATTGAAGATGAAAGCAACACCACTAATTTCTTCTACCTTCGCTTCTGCAGTTGTATTTCTGTTTATAAAATTGGCAGTGATAGCTATAGCCAGCTTTCCACGAAACTCTTTCCTCCTGAAACCTGATGAGCAAATTAAAAAAATAAAAACACTGGAAACTTCACACTGGACTTTCAGAGAGGGTCAGCTCAAGGTAGCTCTGTCTCTTTCCTATGTCTAGTCCTACACTTCATCAAACAACACACCACCAGCAGGTTCCATCATTCCTCCAAAATTCCCTTGAATGCAAAGTCTCTTCTTCCCACTTCCAGCTGCAAAACTGGAGCTGTACAGCATTCAAGATAAAAGCTCATATATATTAAAAAAAAAAAAAAAAAAAAAAAAAGTGCCTGGAGGGGAACAATGGGAAGAAGTTGAACACAGGAAGAAGTTAAGGATGAATAATGACTGAAGAAAAATGGATTGGAAATAAAGCAGATCAAATTTAATGGAGGGAAACATTTTTATCATGCTAAATACAAACATTATATGGGTGGTGAAGAGCTTATGAAAAAACATGCAAGGGATCAGTAGTCAAAAGCAGCAGAAAAAGATCTGGAAAGTAGAAACTTCTGTAACAGTGCTTAGGTGCATACACTACCAGCTAATGAGGTTTTTCAAAGATATTAGGGGTTGAAAAATACTCAGTGGCTTAACTGTTATATTTCCAAGGTGAGACTAACTGCGAAGTACTTGCTCTCTCACTCCACCCTAACTTCCTCTTTTCACAAAATATCCCACTAAGCCACCATCTTGCAATCACACATTTAAGTTTTTCCCTCTGCATATTTCCCCTTATCCGTAAATTCTGAAGTAGGCCAGAGGGTGCTTTTAGCCAATTGCAGCTGACTTTTCAGAGAATTACATGTATTTTCTAAGAAGAAATTAATCACCTCTGAATTTTTGTCTCTGTGCTTCTTGATAAACTCTCATTATTTCATGGGGATAGGTTTAATATGACAATACCAGATTCTGTATGTAATTAATCTTCAGTGCACCAAAATGTCCCTTAGATCCTCCTACTATAGTAACTAATAACTTCTCAATGGAGTCTGTAACTGAGGTAAGAATAATTTCATTTTGCTGATACCTGACTATTTAAACAGTCTTTTGGGGGGATAGCTGGACAATAGTGTGGGGAAATTTCTTATAGACTAGTATAAGGAATTAACTCTAAGCATATTGTGGTTGACAGATATAAGAATAAGCAGGCAAACTATGAAACTAATAAAAAAGGGAAATAATGTACTTAGTGAACTGAAACTAATATGGATATAATTAAAGCTACAAGGGGAATATATAATTAGTAACAGGTCTGTTCATAGGATACAGGAGCAACTTAGCTGGTGTCTCACTAAGAAAAAGACATCTCAGGTGGTCTGAATTCTCAGCAGTGGCTCAAATTCATGAAGCATTTCCACCCTTCCCCTCCGCCACCTTAAGGTTATTTATTATCTTTTGGTATCCAAAGTAACTGCTTCTTAAGTTAAATCATCTTTGTAAGAAAGCCTTCACTGAATACCCAGCAATCACATTTTGGTCATTAGTTCAAACATATGGTGAAAATTTACGGCACGATAGCAAAGACTTATGCAATTCCTGACATGATACATGTCAGCTGCCTTAAAGTTAAATCATCATATAATTAAACCTTGAAGCAAGCCCAGTGACATCATAATGCATTTTGTAGGCAATGCAGACATAGAGCACTGAGAATCAGTAATGACATTAAATGTCTTTATTTTGATCCACAACTTAAGAACAAAAGCAGAAGATACCATATAAAAAATAGTTTCCACACAGACTTCAGTTGATTGAAAGGTAGCCCGTTCCTCTGTGTTCTCCTCTGACTGTCAGGCCTTCCAAAATACCCTGAAGACCATTAATAAGACTAAAAGCACACATTTACCTACCTTCTAATGTGTTCCTGCGGCCATCTGCACCAATAATAACATCAAATTCATACTCTGACAAAGGGTGATCCATAGGGAGAAATTCAGCCCTCCAACCTATCTCTAAAAACACAAAGAATAATATTTATTCATACTTCAGTAATACAATGGAGAAGTGATTTCAGAGTCTGAAGGCAGGGCATTAAGATAAACAATTCATTTCTTATTCAAACAGAGCTGAATTCTGCCTCCGTTTGACGCAGGGAGGTTCTGGTGCAGTCAAAAATACGTTCAGGCTGTATTAGAAAGTTGTCAAGCTTGTAAACTGACAATAAAAAAAAATGAAGCCTTCATTTGTATCACCTACTGCACTAAAATTCCTCCCAGACCCATATCACAAGAGTCTGCTTAAGCACTTCTTTCTCACAGAAAGAGCCCCACAATGACCTCATCAACACACTACATACATATGGTAACAGCAAGGAAGGGCTGGGTTTTAACAGAAGAAAAATACCATTCCACCATCGATATTTTTAATTGTCTTCTAAATAGAAATTAAACAGAGGCATACTCACAAAGGTAAATTTAATCTTTGCATTAATACAAAGCTGATTATGTGAAAACGTTTGTATTGTCCATATGTAAAAATCATATATGCTTTAACTACTTAAAACAGTATACTTATTCTACTGTCACTATATGATCAAAGAGAGATAGCATGGTATTTTAATTAAAGTAAAATTTTAAAAATTCTATTGCTACTACACCCTAAATATTAATATTAAAAAAAATAAAATAGAAAAAAAAAGAATGAGAAATCTTTATTTTATTTAAAAATCTTGCATAAGATGGCTGATAAGAATCTGTGTGTCAGTGGGAGTTATATAAAATGTGAAAGCAAAATGAAGCCCAGGGAGCTTAATCCATTCTCAATATTTATATTATCAGTCAAAAATTGTTTTTGCAAGAAGATACCAAAAAGCCACACCAGACTCCCTACAAAGCCTCAAACGCATGCCAGAAGGCATAGTGCAAAACCTCAACTTCTTTGACTGGGTCGTATTTTAAGAATTATCAGTGCTCTGTCACAAGGATACTTATCATGTATATGACTGCATATAGCAAACCTAGCTGAGTATAAGGGCAAAAACCTCCTATTTCGTTAAACAGATTTCAACTACCTTGAATGATTTCAGATAATGCCTGACAAAAAGAAGTTACTGTGATCTGAACTACATTATGATAAAAAATACTTTGGTTTTCTTGATCTTCGGGAGGTTCCAGGACTTTCACGAATTCTAGATTCACATGGATTTCAACTCCTAGTATAAGTGCAACTTTGAAGAGGATTAGTTGAAGTTGTCGAATACCTGTAAACAGCAAGTAACAAAGATGTATTTAATATGTAATAGAGCTGCTACTAGCATCTCACCCAACAGATATCAATTGTTAACACAAGCATGCAGCATTATTATTTCTCATTCTGTGACGAGTGCAAATGTAGCAACCTCCACAGGATGTTGTTCTCTCTCATTTTCCTCTTGCACCACAATCTCGTAGGTAATAAAACTAATTTCAGTGAGTTTCTTAGAATACTTTGAGAGCTGTCCTTCTTAATGATATTTAAAGGATTTACTAACCAATATGTCGACCATTTTAGGATATAAAATTTTACAGTATATTTCCTTGTAAAATATCCCATTTTTACATATTTTCTCATTAAGGGCTTTGTCTACCTTCAACACACTAGAATGAGTATCAGTATTTTTCATACTTCATAATAAAAATCTATTGATTAACAAATCTAGAGTAACAAAAAAGCTGCTCCATAAGACTGCCATTTGTTCAATTGCCATTTTGCTTAAATTAGACCATTTTTTTTTCCTCTGTGTGTATGCATGCATTTGTACGTGTTTAAGGCAGATTAGCTTTCTGCCAAATCAAGAAAGTCTCCATTAATCTTCTGACCTCAATATATCACTCATCTGAACAGTGCCCATGCCCTCAGATACTTACTGATGTGATCAATAGATCCTGCACAGAATTTTCCATAGAATTTCTTTGCTCCCAGCCCCCGGAGGTCATGGATTGTAAATGGCCATAGATGCAACACATTGTTTCTTGAAAAAGTGTCCCGCTTCTCCACGACGACAACTTTGGCTCCCAGGAAGGCAAGTTCTATGGCAGTCCGCAAGCCACATGGGCCACCTCCAATAATTAAACACTAGCAGAGAAAAGAAGGAGTCTTGCACAGGGTTTTATATTGACTTCCATATAGTTTCTAACTTACTCTGTTGGTATGACTCGATATTCAACTGAAATATGATACTGAGATTGTATTCAAGGCATCTATTCAAATCAATAAACAATCAAATGTTGTTTGCATGTGGTGTTCAGTCAATTTGCACAAGAGAATAAACTGTGCTTCATGCAGACGTAAAAGCATCTGATGCAAAGATGTAACAGAAGAAACAGAAAAAAGCCAAACACTTTTCAGCATCTCCTTGTACACCTCTAATTCACATTTAGTGTTTCAGAAGTGCTTGCAGTAAACAGGATTACAGCTACACAAGAAGGAGGGGAAAGGAAATAAGTGGTCTTGGTGTAGGCTTTTTTTGTTTTAAAGAGGAAATTGGTGTACATTTGCTAGACTTATTAGACAAATCTATGATAAGCCAGTAGTCTTACGGTATTAGTTACTGTCTTTCAAGCAAGGGCGTGTCCTGAATATAACAGCCTAGTTCAGTTACCGCTGTGAAGCAGGGCACGTCAAGAGAAGTCAGCAGACTTGTCCTGCTTCACCAGAGGTGCACAACTCTGCCTGTCCTATTTCACTTGACCGAGTGGTCAACATCCTCATTTTCAGGACAATCACATTTTAGGAGCTTAAATCTAAGTTTGGGCATCCCAGAAGAATCACTTCAGAAATTATTACAGAGAAGTCTCATCCACATTTTAGTTGACAGCTGTAATTTTTCACAGACTAACAAGCAGAGGATTTCCAGAAAGCAAACTAATTAAACCCCAAACATATCTACTGCTTTCATTTTCCTGATTACTAAAAACTGATTAGAAACATTCTTATAGCTAGACAACATTGCTGTTCCACACCTCCTCCTAAATCGCATCCCGCCTCCCACCCCCCCAAACCCACACAGACTCCACAAACTCCATACCAGCAATTCAAGCACCAGGCTGGGGCAGGGAGAGACGAGGTGTGCCTGAGCAGAGGGGAGAGCTCTGGCTGCAAGGCCGAGCTGTGCCGTGATGCAAATCCAAACCCATTATCTCACACACCAGATATGCTCCTGTGCATCCCGCACACATAGCCAGACAGTGATTACAGTTTAAAAGTGAGCACGGACTGTATCTGGAGGCTCGTTGGGTAGGAGTCTGGTTCCCATTACATTTCAATTTCATCAAATAGACTCATTTATTTATTTTGGTTTGTTCACCATTTGTTTTCAGATTCAACAACTTAAGCAAAAATTATCTGGTGCTGACTTTTGTCCTTAACTTTTGTCCAACACAATCATAAAAGTGCAAATTTTTTTTTTTAATTTAATAAATAATTTGAATAAATTCCCATTGACAGAAGACCTATTTTAAGGTGCTTTTGCTTTGCTTTAGGCAAGTGTTTTGTTAACTGGAAATATTAAATAAGTTAAAGTTAGGTTGTTGCATGAGCCACTTGGCTTTCTTCCTCTTAAAAGAGCATATTAAACTCATAATTTCAGAAGGACACTGCTCACTGCATGCTAAATATTAAGAAAACATCAACAGATGTAATTATATAAAGGAAGAAAATAGAGTGCAGATGTTATCCCGACTGAAGAGGATCACTGGTGGAGTCTGGGTCAGCTTTTCTGCACATGCTTGTTGTGATTAACACTGGAACTCTGAGCTCTGACAAGTGACTGCCTTCACAGCTACACAGTTTTCCAGTAATGTTTAGCAAGCAGTTAGAAACATTTTACAAATAAAGACCATACATGGTTTGATAAGGTGGGGTTGTTTTTTTGGCTAACAAACTGTATTATATATAAATAAATGCAACTTTTAAAAAAAGCAGTCTTTTGAGATTTAGTCATAGTGGATCCTGCCAAGTAATAAAACCCACACAGAAAACACTGTTAGTTCCTCCTGGTGCTCTGCAACATAGTATGTTACAATTTTAAGGAGGATTCTGCCCTCTCCCCTCCTCCTATCTCCATTGACAAAATATCTTCCTAATTGCCTAGAGATACTGTGAAAAATGGTTGTATATTGCCATCATCTATGGTTACCTTCCATAAACACATTTATCTACGTCTCAGAACTATTTGTTCTTTGATTTATTCAAGATACTTCCTGCTGGTGTAGAGCTACCCCACTTTGTCATCTTTTTTGAAACTTCTGGGCTCAAAACCATCACAAAAGCCTTGCAAAGGTATTTCTTATACTGTGTTCATGTTCCCACCTTTATTAAATAAGGGATGGGACTGTACCACTGTCCTGTCCCTGCCCTCCCTTCTCAGCTCTCTGCTTGCAAAGTCACAGGAGAAGCCTCCTTGTGGTCGGTGTAGAAAAAACCTTGACTGGCTTCCTATTTTCACTTCCTTTTTACCCCAGTCTCCTGGCTCATCAGGGCCTGCTTTTGAAATTAATTTCTTGCAATTTAACCCAGATCATGACAACTGACATCACATAAGGAAGTCTCGAATGATCAATCCTGAAATGTAAAAAACAGGGTTGGATAAATGCCTATGTTTTCTTGACATCCACATTGCCACTCCCAGCTCAGCTGTCTTTTAATGATGCCAGATCATCTCCTAAAAAGGTAAAGGGTAACCTGACTTTTCAAAGCATCATCTGCAAATTATTCAAAGTAACAGTAGCTGAAGAGGCCTGACTAGGAGCTTTTGCATATTTCTTGTTCAGGCTGGAAACGAAGGGACAAAGACTTGTATAGATTACAGGGCAGTTTATCCAAGAGCAAGATCACAACTAGACTTCTGTGAGCTGCCTGAAGAATCAGTATCACATTGGATGGTGTATCCTGCTTTACTACTGAGACTATTCCATGTTAGTGCAAGATAGCAATATTGAGAGAAGGCATTTTTCTCAGTGAAAAACTCATGGTATAAAGGGCTGATCTTCTTCCTGCAAATGTATGTAAATACTCCCTATCAAATGAGAAGTTTCATGAAATCTAATGCACTCCCCAAGAACAGTACCTATGTTACAACAAGACAGGAGCAGGGAGAAGGAGTAAATGAGGATGGAGAAAACAACAGTTATTCATTCATGTGGCAGATTAAAGCATTTGATTTTAAAATGCCAAGTTTCTTCCTTTATCCTTGATGAAAATAATTTATCTTTGCACATATTTCATCCAAAGATCTTATGAAGGCTTCATATATTGAGCACACATCTTCCAGAAGAGGAAATGCACACACTGCAAAAGGGAGCCGTGAGAAGGACTCTGCCCGGGCCGCTCCCCAGCCCTGGCCCTCACCGCAGCCCAGCGCTGTGCCCACGAGTTCCCCAGCCAAGGGGAGACAAGCGGGGTGCCGTGACTGCCCTGCACGCACCCCAACAGCAGCTGGCCCCACACGGACACCCGCACCCCGCCACCTCCTCAGCAACAGGACCACGTAAGGTTACGTACAGCAAATCTGCACCAAACTCCTGCTACGCAGTAGCTGGCAGTACTGAAGAGACTGCCCATAACCTCTAACTCCTACAAGCAACGGTCACCACGAGTCCTTTTCATGAGAATTTTATTTAAGTTAAATTCATCTATCCTTCTTGCAAAAGTCTCGGTATGAATTACTCAATACAATAAATGTGACAATGAAAATTTTACACTTATCGTATAAATTATCATAAGTAAATGGACATGCTGGTTTGAGTTAAACTTCTGCAAGGGAATTTTTAGAAGACCAGTTACAAAATTCCCACTGAAGAGGGCTAACGCAAGTTTACAGGCCAGTAACAGTTGCCTAGTAACAAACCTAGTACTATTTCAGTTTAAAGCTGTAAATATTAAGTAAAGCATGGAAATTTTTGTACTTCAAAACAAAAACAGTAATAAGCCCATGCATGTTTCATAAAAGTTGTCTTTAAACTGCTGAGTAAATACTATGTTTCCATGGTACTGTTAAAAAGTACTGTACTGTACTAAAAGATAATTATTTGTTTCTGTATAAATCTTGGTCCGCACTATAACCAAGCATGCTATTCATCGCATGATTTATCTTCAGACTGAAATAGAGCAGAAACTCCATGTATTTTTTTTCCCCCCAGTACAATTAAAAGATATCAGAAAGTTTCACTTGTAATAATATAAACATACACAGCATTTGATAAGTCTCATAAGCTTGATTCTACTCAAAGGTCAATTTGACTGTAAGAGATGCTACTTTCTCTCTATTAGTATGTTGAAGAATGGCAGTGCCTTGCAAATCTCTGCATAATGTTTCTACACTGAATAAGAGCACGTACTGCGGAGCTAAACAGCAGACGGCAGCATATGTTGCCTCTGCAAAAGCAGAATGACTTTTGCGTCAGTCATGGGGGTTTGATATGATCTCCTGTATATCATGTACAAATATATGACTTACAAAATGGAAGGGAAGGAAAAGGAGAGAGGGATGCAAAGTAGGAACCACTCTTGCAACGCCTCCCCTCCCCTACTATGAAATCATCAGCCTGTGAATCTAGACACCTATATCCCATTCTGGAAAAACCACATGGAGTTTAACAGCTGAGAATTTGCAGAATGCTTTGACTGGTTTTCACACAGTAAAGCAAGCTTACAGAAACAACTGAGGTCTTGAGAGAAAGGAGGGAGAGAGCATGAAAAGCAGAATCTACTCACTGACCTTGAAAAATGTAAAAAAAAAAAAAAAAAAATTAGCTCTTGGCATTTACATGTTCACAGTCAAGGAATCTACCAGTTGGTAGTTGCATGTGGGTGAGAGATGCAACCATAGAGCACCTCTTTGCACAGTTAAGAATAGACAAATCCTGTTGTAGCTCAATGCAGTACACATGTACACTTTAAATCCCTCACTCCTCTCCTACCCTAAGTACCCAACCATTAAATTAGTCCTGGAAAATAAAAGTATATTCGACTATGAACCACTCCCCGTATGTTCTTGGGGTGAAGACAGAAGCTACAATCACTCCAGGAATTCAAGATTTTCTCATTTCTGCCTTTCAGTTGTTTTGGAGGTGGAA